AAAAAAAAAAAAAAAAAAAAAAAAAAAAAAAGTTGGCCCTCACTGAACCAAAGTGACAAATACCAGGAAGAAGTTTTGACATTTAGAAATGAATGTGTGGGTAGCTTATTGCAGATTGCACGGAGTTTTACACGCTATATCTTCATTCACAAAGCAGTCCTGTGAGGTGTGGGTGCTTACTACAGGCAGTGAAACCTTCAGAGGTGAAGTGGCTTTTAAACAGTCACTCCAGTACTTTTGAAGACTACTATTTCTTCTCTTTGTTTATCTCAGACATTTGCCTTTATTTTCTTTAAAATGTGACTCTACAGAAAAAAAAAAACTGTATAAAAATGAAAGTCTTAGGGGGCTGTGGAGATAGCTCTGTGGAATAAGTGCTTCCCTGGCAAGTGCAAAGGCCTGAGTTCAATCCCCGGTTCCACCAAAAAAAAAAAAAAAAGAAAGTCTTACCTTATATGTGTAATGAGAAAAATAACATAACTCATCTGAGAGTTGACATAGGCAAATTATGTAGAGATTTAATAAGATTTAGAAAATCTGGAGTAATTTCTTGATACATTTTTATAAAGAAAATAATAAAAGGGCCAGCACTTGTATCCCCCCCCCCACCCCACTGGCGTGAAGAGGGCCATGGACTCCTTCAGCAGACGCATTTCCTGATTGCTGAATACGGAATAGGCCCGATGACCTCTGGCGAGACGGTAATTACCTCCCGGAGCACAACTTCCAAGGGATGCTGGAATGATTTGTTCCAGAGACGATTTGTTCCAGAGACGATTTGTTCTTGGGTTTCCTGCTAAGAGTCCACAGCTTTTATCTTTATCCTGAATGAACTGAGCACAGCCCTGTGCCCTTGACCCATATTAATGACAGTGTTTTTATCCCATCAGCCTTCCTCTTTTGTTGTTGTACTAGGAATTGAACTCATAACCTCGTGCTTGCCAGGCAGGTATTGGGCAGCTAAGCTATCTCCCCAGCTCCATCAAGCTCCTTGAGGAAGCTTCGTTTTCCTAACCCTGCAGGGCAATTTACATGAGCTACAGTGAGGAGAGGTTCTTGTCCAAATAATCCTCCTCTCAGTCGAGGCCCTAAAGGCTGCACTGAGGGAGGAGTGCAGCAGGGGTTGGGCAGTGCAGGGAGCTCTGTGGGGTGGGGCAGAGGCTGGCAGAAGTCCAAGCACTGTCCGGCAGAGGAGGTTTTAGCCAATCAGAAAAAGGGCTGTAAACTGACTCTTTTGTTGCTAGCTGAATAGTCTGCGGGAAAGACCAGCGAGACTGGGAAATCCCCAGTGAGGCAGCCTTTGCCTTACAGCCCAGGATAACCTGAGGAAAATTTCCCCTTAGGACAGGAGTAGGGAATTGACCACAATGTTCTGCTTATTCTGGGTGCAGGACAGTCGGAGGGCGCTTCCAGGTCCTTTTCTGGCCACTCTTTCCAGGTCTGAGTTTGATGTTCTGTCCCTTGTGTCCACCACTCCCATAGAGACCCTCCTCGTGCTGAGTGCTCTGGACTCTGAGCACAGAGCTGCCTGAGGGAGGCCAGCAGCAGCTTGCCAGGGCCAGGGGCCGCCGTCTAGGCAGGGACACAGGATATTCTAGTAACCCTGGCCTTTCATGTGTCCTTAGCAGGAACTCCTGCTTGCCTCTTTCCTACTTTTGACTCTTAAATGCCTTATATTCTTTTAGGCTCTGTTCTGTGTTTTAAAAGGAGAATCTAAAATAAGGGAAAGAGAAGTCAAAGAGGGAGGGAGGAATTGAAACTGCCTTGGTGAGAGCTGTCGTCAGTGTTTGCCAGGCTCTGTTCTAATTGATTCGTGACTAGAAATGGGTAAGAGGAGCCTGAGGAATAAGACATTTGCTTTAAGAACGCATTGTTTAGTGTACATTCAAGATGTCACGTTCAGGGCCGGCACAGTACAACCTCCAAGGAAACCTTTGCTCCCTCAGTAGCACTACAGACCTGGGAGAAGACTTGTGCACATCTTGTTTTCTGTTCTTGGAAGGAAACTTTGAAAGCTGTGGACATTTACAGATCATCGAGGAGGATTTAAACAGCTGGAGACAATGCCAGCTTAATTGATTTTTCACACAGTTTCATTGAAATAACAGGGAAGCAACAGATTCTGCTTACAGAAGGCTCACTTGCTAGTAGGGCTGAATGCCAGTGTTTTTTTCTTCTATTCTCTCCCACATAGTAACCTGATATTTCCAAGAGTTACATGGGACAGTGAAAGGGGCGTTGTGCAATGTTACCATGTCAGATTACTCTCAAATGTGTATGTGTGAAGAGCTAGTGTGGAACACAGGAAACATCATCCACATTGTACAAAGAGCAGCCTGAAGCAAAAAGAGGCTGCGTCGTCTGCTGACCCATGAAGCACAAGGGCTGTAGAGCTGGGGCTCACTCTGTTTCCCTAGAGAAGCCTTCATCTCTTACCAGGACGTATGGCTCCTCAGAGGCCCTCATGTAATAAAAGTGAACATCTGTGTGACGGCAGTTTTGTCATGAAATGTGACACCCATTTGTGATGCCCGTTTATATTCCCTGTTAAGAACTCTAAGTTGCCATACTTAGATTCCTTTTCTCTTCTGGCTCTTCTACCCCCTAAGGCATTCGACTTTCACGTGTAGACAGGTCTTCTATAAATGAGAGGAAATCGTCACCTCAGACTTCATCCAGTGCAGATACAGGCAGTGGATTGGGAGCCTTCATAAAAAATGTCTGCCTGGAGACAGATGATGTGCATTAGCTACAGTGCTGATTGGCTCCTTTCCTGGGACTCCCTAGCCCTAACACTCAATGAAGCAGTCTCAGGTTTTTCTTCTCCGAAGTGGGTACGGCAGGAGTGAACTGTGTTGACTGCCATTGCCTTTTCCCTTTTTCTCAATGATGTCAGTGAAGATGGCTTTGGGGATCCCAAGGGGCCTTAGTCCAGCCACGGTGACCCTGTTGCTGCTGCTGCTGGGAGGTGCTCTGGCTAAGGGCAGAGACTCTCCAGGTGAGTGCTGTCAGCTGCTTCCAGGGTGCAGCCATCATCGCGGGGCAGGAGCTCTGACGGGAGCCTGGGGCTCTGGACAAGGGTGGCAAGCCCCACCATCCCAGAGCACTGTTTCCCACAGGTCACCTTGGTGGGAGAGCACTCTCTTTTACATTCTCCTTTCATCTTGTGATGTTGAGTGGGGCCGTGCCTACCTCCGGGGTCCAGGGTGGGCTGTTATAAAGGGTAGGAGGAGACAGAGTTTATATTACTGCCAACTGTGGGGCACAGGGAGCCGGGACTTGTTTTTGATTATTTATTTCTATCTTTTTTAAGGCAGGGTCTTACTATGTAGTTCAGGCTGGACTTGAACTCACTTTGTGGCCCATGCTGGTCTTGAACTCACAGTGATTCTCCCACCTCAGTCTCCTGAATGCTTGGATTACAGAAACATGCTACCCCGCACAGCCAGGGGTTGTTTTTGAAGGAAATTAATTTCTTTAAAGCTGATATAGTAGGCTTTGTCTCTGTCAGGATTTCCTACAGTTTCGTCTGGAGAAATTCTGTGAGGCTCTGGAAGATGAGGGTGAACCTGCAGTGGTGTCTGTAGACCTAGTGTTCGGGGAGAAAGGCTCTGTCTTGGGGAGGGCAGGCTTCAGGGAGGCAAAGCCCAGGTATGGGAGCGAAGCCAACAGAGAGGGAGTCTTCATGCTGTGCTGCCTGGTGGCCCAACAGTAACTTGAGAGGGATTCTGGACTTGATAGTATTCTGAATGTAGGAGGCCAGAAGGGGAGTACATGATACACACTGGGGAAGCCCTCACTCCGACCAGATCGTGGTTTACATGAGTTCTCTGGCAGTCTTTCTAACAACCCTGTAGAGTTATTATGACTTTCTCTCATGTAGTTATAGTTAGGACGTAGATACTCTGTTATGTAACCTGTCCCAGCAGCTAACTCTCACAGTTTTTTTAAATTTAATTTAATTTTTTCCCATAATTTTATTGATAAACAAATAGCAATGAGACCGTTTCAAATCAAATTGGTAGGACAGTTTCAATAATCAACACCTTGCATACATTCTTCCCAGTTTCTCTTCAGATCGTATAAATCTTTCGCTTTTTTTTTTTTTTTTTCTGACACAAGGTTTTCACTGCGCAGTTCAGGCTGGCTTTGAACTCAGTTTGTAGCCCCGGCTGGCACCAAACGCAGAGATTCTCCTGCCTCAGCGAGCGCTGGGAGTCCAGGCCTGAGCCACCACACCCTGCCTCTTACGCTTTAATCGGAAGCTAGTCTGTGTCTTTTGAAATCCTGGGCTCTTTTCCTAAATGCTCTTTTCTGGGCTTAGAAGTTGAGGGTTTCGAGGAGTGCATCAGCCTCACACAGCTTGCATAGGGCGGCAGGGACAGAGCGAGCCCAGCGAGCTCTCCGACCGAGACACCGCGCTCGCGGGACGGCGGGAGCCCGGCAGGCCCCTTCCCGGGAACTCTCCACCCGCGTGCTGTCCCGGGTTTCTGGCTCTGCGGAGTCGGCCTGGCGGGGGAGCCGAGCTCAGGCAGAGTGAGGACCGGGACGCGGGGGGGGGTGCGGCGGGAGCGGGGTCCGTCCCGCGGGCGCAGGGACAGCTCCGGGCTCGGGGCGCAGGCCCGGCGGGACCCCGCGAGCTGACGGCTGCGCCCGCCCTGTGCTTCCCGCAGAGGACTTCGTGTACCAGGGTAAGGGCCTGTGCTACTACACCAACGGGACGCAGCGCGTGCGGGGGGTGGTGAGGTACATCTACAACCGCGAGGAGTTCGTGCGCTTCGACAGCGACGTGGGCGAGTACCGCGCCGTGACCGAGCTGGGGCGGCCGGACGCCGAGTACTGGAACAGCCAGCCGGACTTCCTGGAGCAGACGCGCGCCGAGCTGGACACCGTGTGCAGACACAACTACGAGGTGAACATCCTCCCGCTGACCCAGCGGTGGCGAGGTGAGGCCCCCTGCGGGGAGACCCCACCTGGGAGCGCGGCCACCGGAGGGTGCGGGGGCGAGGGGCGGGTCGGGGGCGGGTCGGGGGGCGGG